ATAACGTAAAAAGTATGGCCTCTTACACATCCAGAGCTAATAGGACGAAGATAAGATATGCTAATACATACAGACTGGAGCCACATAATAGATTTCTGGATTATTTAGTAAGAAACAAAGCTCAAGTGATACTAACGGTATAGTATTTTTTAAAATTAATTTTCTAATTTTATTGCAAGAGTAGCTTGTCTTGCAAACATATTAATAGAACAGTGTAAGTTGCATAAACTAAAAATATGCACAAATCTTTGCAGACTCCAAGTTTTGGCACACAAATGTCATGTGAACGTTCTCCACTTTGCAAAGTGCAGAAGGTCCTTTGCAAGGTCACCACTGAGCATGTGCTGTTAAAATGGAGCTGAAGCTTCTTAAACTTTTGCCCATTTCTAAATCAAGTTGAGCTGTAGCACAGTTCAAAGTACCCTAATCTGGAAAATATCCAGTTATCCAAAGATCCTGACCTTGAATTTGTGGAATTCTGCTCCTTCAATTAGTTCTACTAATATCACTTGACCTGCATAAAATATACATGGCATCCTTGACAGTCTTACTGCTACATACAAAAATTAAGCAAAAATTAAGGAGAACGATCTGTTGAGATAGATGTAGCTGTTAGTGATACCTTGGGCAAACCCATCACAAATAGTTATAACCAACTCTTGTAATTCTGCTGTCTGGAAGACATGCTGTGGATATTTGGAGCAGGTATTTGTTGCACTATTTTCTAGTGAACTGAGCTCAAATGATGGAGAAGGGTACACTCCTGTTTGTTAAGTGGAGACTGGCTGGACGTGTTTGTCATTTTCAAAAAAGAGTAAAACATTTTAGAGTAAAAATGGTACAGCTTTTGCTGTTTGAAAGCATCATTTGTATTGACTGTTCTACTTATTAGTTTTTCTAGTGTACTTGTAATTAAAATGATGATAAAAGTTTTTTTGCAGGATGAAAACTAAGATCTTTCAAAATTGTTTTTGACAGAATAAACTTCAAGAAGCCAAATACGATGGAGTTTCTAGTCCCTCTTTGTGTGCTTCAATCTCAGAAGAAATACTAAAGGCTGTGAAGGAATTGGACTTTGACCGTTATAAGTACGTGGTATGGGTACTAATTGTGGAAAAGGCACATCAGGCAATGAAGGTGAGCAAAGAAATAATTCATAACCTTTTGCAAATTGAAACAAAAATATTTTTAGAACTGTACGTTATCTCCAAGGCGTTCATCTGCATTCAGCAGTGGATGGTCTTGAAGCCTTTAGGTTCTTTATGGGGAGTAGTATGCCAGGTGAGAACTTAAGGTGTTGCTGTGATTCTACCTAACCTGTGAAGGTTGTCTCCTTTTTGAGTTTGGAAACAGTGGTAAGCAGTCCATGCTGCTCTTCCTTGTCAACCAGGTATTTCTGCTGTGCGCTGTTCCAGTACAATTGCATGACTGCAGTGAATTTTCTTTTTCCAGTGCACTTTCATCTCCAGTTGGGTCATCACATTCAGCACAAAAGACCGTGCAGTTGTGGTATGGGGTCACATGCAAGGAAAGGGTTGCCAGGAAAGGGATGGAAACTCTTTCAGCTTCAGCTGCCACCAAACTGATGCTTCTGGAACTACAAAGTAACAGTAGTGATCTGAACTTGTCGCACCCAAAACAAAAGTATTCTAGACTTTCCTGTGTTGTATGTAAATTCACAAGTATTGCAAGCTGCCACTGGCATTTTGAACACTTGTAGGTATCTTGCCGAGTGTCAGAGAGCACTTCTGTTTAGGAGCGTTCATCATCAGCTCTTAAAACCTGATGAAACCATACCTGTTTTCAGTGGGTTACGTGAAACAATGTTGGAAGGGTTGCCAGCTTCAGTAATGAAGCCAGTCTGTGAGGTGCCCAGCTACCGACAGTTCTGGTGCTGTCTCACAATACACTGCCTCAGAAGTTGTACTTTGATGAGCAGCTGTAGCTTAAAATGGATTACTGAAATGGTCTAACTTTTTTTTTTTTTTTTTTTTTTTTCTCCTGCGGGGTATGTTTATTCCAGCAGTCAATTCACACATTTTACCTTTTAAAACAATTTTATGAAAAAAGTTGAGAGCCGGGTAAATGGTTGCAAGTAGACTGCTGGAGGTGGAGGAGTCAGGGATGTGACTTCGTTGCATATGTTTCCGAAACTGATGTCTATTTGTGTTGTTTTTGAAGCTGTTACAGTACGCTGAAGTGCTAACAAGTGAATGTGAGAGACAATTGAGTTTTTTGTGTAGAGATTTTTGGATCTATCAGGGTGGGAGCTTTACTGTGAAGCAAGAACGTGTATTTTAACATTGAGTACGACTTGGTCATTTTCACTGTAATTTTGCAGCTGTTGTTACTATTTATAACTCTCATAATGCAGTCATATCAGCATTTATATAATAGTGTGTGTTCTTATAAAAATATAAAAACTCTGCTGCGTATAGATTCACAAATAGCCTTTTATTTCCTTTAGGTTGCCAGCAGATGGGTCTGGGATGTTCAAAGAGACACCTGGGTTTCAGCTAAATGTGAAACTGAAACATTTATTGCATTGGCTTTGGTAATGGCTTGTTATTATGAGTAATGGTCTAAAAGCCACACCTGGTTTTGTGCATCGCAGTACTTGGTGTATTTGAAAATTTTCTGAATTTCATAATTTAAGTACTAATTTTAGTCCTGATGCTGTTGGCACATTGAAATTGACATACAGTTAATTTTGCTCATTTTTTTCTGTTAAAAAAACCCAAACCCAACCCCCCAAAACCCCACTTTTGGAACGTGTATGGTTGAGTACATATGGGCTTCATCTGTCATAATGCTCTGCTGTGGAAGTGGAGGCAGCTGGTGTAAAGCAAACTTTGCAAAATTTTGAATGTTGCTTGTCTGTTGCATGCCTAAGTTTGTTAATAAATGTTTACAAGAAATTGCAGGTATATTTGTAAGAAAAGGCGAGTGGTAATTTTTTTCCTAGTTGCATCTGTGACAAAATGCCAGTTTTGTGTAGAAACACTGCTGGGAGGGAAGCCATCTTTTGCACACTTTGAAATTTGTGCAAATTTCCAAGCATTTTCCTTCAAATATGTGTTCAGTCATTAGTTGCCCAGGGCCTTAGATGTGCATTAAATGGCAAGGGTGTCCAGGCCAGTGGCCAAGCACTGATTTGGGCAAATTTGATGGTGGCAGTAGTGTGGCTTTTAATGGCCAAGGCAGGCGGACAAAAGGGTCGGTAACGAGGCTGTGGATGGCTGCTCCGTCATCAGCAAGGACAGCAATGATTCTGTTTTGAAAAATCAGACTCTTGCAGATCTGTGGAGTGCGTAGACATCTGCTTCTGGATCTGCTTTGTGTGGAACCCGAGCGCTGATGCCTTTTCCGTGTCAGTTGTATTGTTAAAGAGCTGAAAACAAGCGGGTGCCGACGCAGGCGGGGGGGGTGCCGGTGCTTCTGCACGCCCCTCGCCCTGCGCGGCTCTGAGCGCCTTCGGGGCCGGGGAGGAGCTGGGGGGGCGGAG